GCTTATATAGCGATTAAAATCACTATTTTTCTAATGTTCTTCTTATTTACGAAAAGGAATAACGTCTAGAAAAACAAGAATTGATACTTTTTGTGCGTGCCACTCTCTCTTAATAACTTTGGACCTGAAAAATGTCTAACAGAGAAATTTTTACTTTAAACTCAATATGCACATAGATGTAGTAAGTAAACAATTTAAGGGAGGGAATAGTGTGCAATTTCAATTTTTAATACGAGAAACGTTTTATAAGTATAATTCTAATTGCACATTCTTAAATATATTAATTTAATTATTTTGTATATAAATGTGTTAACTACACTTTTCTGAGAAAACGTTTATTACAATAGTTTTGTTTAAATATAATTATACATGTGAGCTCTCTATCATTACTATACAGTCAATCATCTCTATACGTATTGCAGATAAGGGAGTGAATATTAACGTGTTGTACTGTTCAGCGTGAGTAAATATTAACGTCGCACTGTGTTCAGCTACACGAGGGCTTTGTACTGTTCAGCAACTCAAGGCCATGAGTCTATTACCCTGGCCACTAGGCTACCGCAGCCACGTGATGCAGATAATTAATACTTATAAAATTTATATTAACGGTTTTTTTGTATTATTATTAAAAGTTTACTCAAAACAAGTAATACATAAAAAAAATTTAAGTCAATTCCTACTTTGGTCAAGAGAGAAAAATTTTATTTTAATTACTTTTTATTAAACAATTACAATTAATATAAATATGCATATTTATGAAAGAATCATATTATTAGGTGGGAAAATAGAAAGCGATTTTCCTTTCTATATATGGTGTTGGACTATTATTTTTGTTTGTTACTATTTCTTCATTCACAAATCATATTAGGCCATCTTAGATAGGCCTTTGGTTTTAGAAGTCCATCGCGCTATCCATTGCGCTACAGGGACACACAACAAGCCATTTTCCTTTTTATATATGGTGTTGAACTATTATTTTTGTTTGTTACTATTTCTTCATTCACAAATCATATTAGGCCATCTTAGATAGGCCTTTGGTTTTAGAAGTCCATCGCGCTATCCATTGCGCTACAGGGACACACAACGAGCCATTTTCCTTTTATATATGGTGTTGGACTATTATTTTTGTTTGTTACTATTTCTTCATTCACAAATCATATTAGGCCATCTTAGATAGGCCTTTGGTTTTAGAAGTCCATCGCGCTATCCATTGCGCTACAGGGACACACAACGAGCCATTTTCCTTTTTATATATGGTGTTGGACTATTATTTTTGTTTGTTACTATTTCTTCATTCACAAATCATATTAGGCCATCTTAGATAGGCCTTTGGTTTTAGAAGTCCATCGCGCTATCCATTGCGCTACAGGGACACACAACGAGCCATTTTCCTTTTTATATATGGTGTTGGACTATTATTTTTGTTTGTTACTATTTCTTCATTCACAAATCATATTAGGCCATCTTAGATAGGCCTTTGGTTTTAGAAGTCCATCGCGCTATCCATTGCGCTACAGGGACACACAACGAGCCATTTTCCTTTTTATATATGGTGTTGGACTATTATTTTTGTTTGTTACTATTTCTTCATTCACAAATCATATTAGGCCATCTTAGATAGGCCTTTGGTTTTAGAAGTCCATCGCGCTATCCATTGCGCTACAGGGACACACAACGAGCCATTTTCCTTTTTATATATGGTGTTGGACTATTATTTTTGTTTGTTACTATTTCTTCATTCACAAATCATATTAGGCCATCTTAGATAGGCCTTTGGTTTTAGAAGTCCATCGCGCTATCCATTGCGCTACAGGGACACACAACGAGCCATTTTCCTTTTTATATATGGTGTTGGACTATTATTTTTGTTTGTTACTATTTTTCATTCACAAATCATATTAGGCCATCTTAGATAGGCCTTTGGTTTTAGAAGTCCATCGCGCTATCCATTGCGCTACAGGGACACACAACGAGCTATTTTCCTTTTTATATCTGGTGTTGGACTATTATTTTTGTTTGTTACTATTTATTAATTAATTTTAATTTAATCATTTGAAAAAACTGTATAAGCATCAAGTGCCATCTTAGTTTAAAAAAATAGAAAATATTTTAGGAATGCAAATTTGGTTTTTATATAAGTCCATCGCGCTATCCATTGCGCTACAGGGATATACACAACGAGCCATTTTCCTATTTTATATATGGTGTTGGACTATTATTTTTGTTTGTTACTATTTCTTCAAAAAATATTGCACCCAGAAGAAATCAAGCTACAATCACGAAACTCGGCAAGAATATTAAGAGATATGCCATGAGACTTATGTGCTATGCGCCTAGTTGCGCAACTTTTAAAAGCATGAGTCGAGCGCATCGCGGCTATCAAACATTGCGCTTTGATAGACGATATTGAGACTTAGGACTAAGACGTAACCGGCGGCAGTACGAGCAGCTGATTTTAGGGGCCGTATAATTTCAGAGAAGCAGGTTGGTCGAATAGACGTATCGGCCGCCACCTCGGTCGGAGCGATATTTTGCTCGGTGTTGGCAACAGTGGATCACAGAAGGTAGAGTGTTACCGTCGCGGAGGGTATTTATTGCAATTAATTAAATTTAATTTCCAGAGTTCAAGAGAAACCAGATTTGAAAAAAAACGTCCGCTAAGACGCTTACCACTGATACATCATCAAGTGTCGACATTAACTACAAGTTTGACAGAAAATGTCATCTTCAGTGATGAAACAGTTAAGTGCTGATGAATGTCTGAGGCGCACCAGCCAATATTTGTAGTAACAAGGTGTGACAGTGTGGGGAGCAATTTCTTGGGACACAAGATCATCTTTATTCAAGGCACTTTGACAGCTCGCAGATACGTGGACGATATTTTAACGCCGATTGTGCTACCCATGCTATCAAGTCGCCCAGGTTCCATTTATCAACAGGATAATGCTCGTCCACATACTGCGCGACTCTCCCAACAATGTCTTCAAGGATATGACGTCCTACCATGGCCTGCCAGGTCACCAGATCTTTCGCCAATAGAGTATGTCTGGGACGCGCTGGGAAGGCAACTGCAGCCGTCCGAGATACAGGAGAATTAACTGCGCAGATGCAAAGACTATGGCAGGATCTTCCACAGGGGGTCATAAGTGATCTAATTGAATCGATGCCACGCCGAATTTCGGCTTGTATATGCCAGAGGTGGCTTTACAACTTACTGATTTTTAACCTTTTTTGCAAGCTGTAACCGCTTAATAAAATGATATTTTGTTCTGAATTTTTAATCATTTGTTTATTTTCATATACACTATGCATACCAAATTTCGTGAATGTAGCTCAATTTCTTCTATGCATATATTTTTTTGCGACAGAGTGTATATATATAGGGAGATTGTGAACTACTAGTAGGAATTGAAAAAGATGCATATATCTGCTGAATATGATCTTTTTTACGAATAACACTAGTTTTAATTTGAAAAATAAATCCAAAACAGTAGCAAACACGAGGGGGAGGGGGTACCGGCTCCAGAAATCAACCATCGCCCTTAATTTTTTCCAATTGATTATAATCCTATGTACATAACAGATAAAATTTAATTAAGTATTCATCCTTAATAATTAATTTTATTAATGAATGCTAATAATTTATTCAGTGATTTATTTTTTACTGTTTTCCATTCCCGACAATCGACAAAATCAAAAGAATATATTTGGTGGCATATTGGGTTATGATGCGAGAAGGATGAACTTTCGACCCTGGTCCCATCACCCTTGAAAAATTCCTGTGTGAGGTCATTGAATTCAACTAACTGAAATAAACTACTTTCTGAGATTTAGCGAGTTATAAGCGCATATACTTATAAAAATAATTCTTTATTGTAATGTTGCTAGTTGTTTTCTAGGCGCCATTGTTTCTTTTAATAAGCAAATAAAGGTAAACAAATAATTTAATTTTCCGGAATAAACTATTGTCTATTTATTCATCAACACATGAATAAAAAAATGTTCTTTTTGGAAACTTTGAGGGCGTTCGGATTTTGCAGAGGCCCTTCCTGCTTATTTATACCAATATGAACATATAAATAAAAGATTATCATAAAAATAATAATCCTGTACTTACAATATTAATTTACATTGCATTTTATTCGAGATATGATGTGTGTGTTTCGCTCTATTATATTTCAAAATAATTAATTTGTTTTCTTTCTTTTTTTCTTAGCAAAAACCTTGCACCCTTCTTACAGCAACGATACATTTCAGTCATCTTCAACCTCTTTAAAAAGAACAAATTCCAAGACGTTGATTTTAAAGTATAATATTGATCGATTCTCCCCTCCCCCTAAAAAAAACCTTAAGCAGCAATTAAAAAAATTTGCAGCTTACGAAAAAGTGTAATTAAGGGTCTACATTCGTAAGACCTCTCCCCTTATATACCGATTTATTAGTTTATTTCAGTTTTTTACCATCCTCTCTTTCTTGTTACTAGAAAGAAAAATGCTACTCCGTTGACAGAGAAGTTTGTGGGTGCGAACGTTTAGAGTGATGTGCCTAATTTCCTGCAGCCATTGATTCGACTCATTAAAGGCTCTCGCAGCCCCCAATATTCTCTCCCCCCCCCCTCCGGAATCTCCCCACCCTCATCCACAAGAGTTTTCTTCAACGCACGCTTTCTGAAGCCCCTAATACCATTATTTAGAAAAGCTCGAGTTTTATTGATTTCGTAGTATTCGTTTCGGAGGATGAGAGGGGCTTGATCTTGATCCCTCTGAAATAAGAATTTTTGTGCAAGTATTCAAGAAAGAAATAGAAAGTTGCTGTTGCACAAGATTATCCTTTTACCTACTACGATATAATTACAAATAAAACGATTACGTTATTTTATTAAATACATTTTTTCACACAATTCTTACTATTATATATATAGTTCACACACTCTCTCCCTATACATATATAACAAAAATGATAGTCCAATAGCATACATAGAAATGAAAATCGTTCGTTGTGTCCCTATAGCGCAATGAACAGCGCGTTGGATTTCTTATCCGAAGTGGATTCGAATCCCACCTGGGATGGCCTAATTTCTGAGCATGTAATTTCTTTTTTCTATGCAATTTTATTAGAATAATTAAATTTGTGACGGATCTATTCGCATACTTTCTGCTAATCCTTTTGGGAAATCTTTGGGCTATCATTCGCGTTTATTCACAACCAACCCTTTTGAAGAAGAAACCGTGATATTTTTAAATTAAGTCAACTATATATAATCAAGGTTTTCTAGCTAGCAACGAGGAGAAGGTGAGAGAGAAAGCCAGAAGTCAGGTGAGATTGCTACTGATGTACGCTCAAATTTATAGAATATTTCAAATATTAAATAGACGAAAGATTTAAAGTGACGACTGGTCACTAAAGTAAAATTAACGTGAAGTTAATTAGAATAATAGAATTGATCCTAAAATAAAGAGGTCGGTATTTGTAGTCTTCTTATAATTCATGCATCTCGTTGTTGTTCCACGTATATTGTTCACATTGAGGCATTCTCTTTTTGTTGAAATTAATTGAATCTGTGTTGATAATTTAGGAGATCAACAAATAAGTTGATTTTGAATTTGTCTGGTATTCCTTTCCTTCCCCCTACACATCTAGGTGGGCAAGAGAGAGTGACAATTCTCTCACAAATTTAATGAAGGAATGAACAGTAACAAAAAAAAATTGTCTAACACCATATATAGAAAAGAAAATGGAAAATTGCAAGGAAAATCGCTTTCTATTTTTCCACTTAATATTGTGATTCTGTCACATGCATATATATATTTATATTAATCGTAATTATTTAATAAAAAATAGCTGAAATAAAATTTTTCTTTATTGACCTAAGTATAAGAACTGACTTAATATTACTTGTTTTTAGTTATATTTATGATAGCTATTATAAAGTATCCGATTATACATTCAGAACAGTGTTTTTGAAGCGTATAAAAAAGAATATATTTTTTCAATATTTAATGCCATCTGAGTTACAATATGCATATATAGTTGTATTTAAATACATTACTATGATTATTTTTTAAATTCGATTTTTCGGTAAAAAAGGAGGTCAAAGTAACACTTTTTTAAAATATTCCCCTTTCATAAAAAATGCATCTAAAAAAACAAAAAATAAAAAACGGCAATGTATAGCAAGGACTTCTATGCATATCTTGAACTAGGATTTTCAAAATATGTACATTAGAAGTGGATTTATTTAAATTTTAATGTATCAGAATAAGGAAATTTTATTTAAAAAAAAACATCGATTTTTGCGACTGACAATAATTTTGGAAATGTGAATTTTTCAAAAATCCTAGTTCAGGCTCTGTGTAGAAGTCCTAGATATATATTGACAAAATTTTATCACTATAGGTGCATTTTTTATGAAAGGGGGATGAATATTTTGAAAATGTGTTACTTTTTCCTGATTTTTCGTCACAAATATTTATACGCCTTTTCAAAAACACCAGGTATCGTCCTCGTCACTGGGCCATAATTCAAAATTACAAGGTTCGTTGCCAAAAGCCCTCGAGTAGCTAAACAGTGTGACGTCACTTTAAAGACGTATTTCTTTATATCATAGAACATCTCTTCTGCATAGGTATAAGTCATAGGACCGAAGTAGACCTGTATAATGTAATAGTAGTAAGTAAAGTAGACATGTATGTCTTGAAAATTACAAAATTTCAGATGAAATGCATGAAATAAAGAAATGAAGGGAACGGCTTCACTGTGCAGATGTTTAGTATTAGGCAGAGTGGAGTGGTAGTAGAATACGTGAGGCGGTACAGTTTAGAACAGGGATGGCGAACAAGTGGCAAGCGTTCCGTTGATGGCACGCGACACAATATTTTGGGCACGCCACCGATGAAAACGGTTTGAGTTTTAATTCAAAATAATTAAGTTGAGTATGAAGTATTACGAGAAACGTGAATGATCGGTCGCGGTTTTCAGTAAGATTTTCTCAGTTCAAAGAATTATTGGAGACGCACAAGTGTTTTTTATGTACCTTGATGTGACTAGCTTTAATAAACTGAATTTATCCCAATGCTATGGTTTGCAAACTGAAAAAATCGAAATGCAACTCTTTGTGTTTGATTTCCAGTCTACTTCAATATGGCTTCAAAAACTTGTTGGAATCGATTAAAACAGAAAGATTAACTAGCGATATAGCTAGTAATGTATGAATTTTGGAAACATGGAATTCGATTCCAGATGCATTTAGCTGTATCAAAAAACTGGCTTATGCTATTTTAACCATATTTTCATATACCTATGCCTGCGAGTCATTATCTTCAGAGATGAATAACATTAAAGACTCCCTTAGAAACCATTTGGAGGATGTCGCCGATTCAACTTGCACTCTGGTAAAAGTAACATCTTACAATTCTAATACAGGTTATTTATCATCTAATCTACCACAACAGAATTCACACTAACAATTTTTTCATTGTAATTAAAGAGTTGTGAGTTGTTAGTATTTAGTTTTATTATTTTCTCAGTAATCACAAGTCAAAATTATTTGACGGCACGTTCATACCTCCTTAAATATTTCTTAAAGGAAAAATGGCACGTCGACCCAAAAAGGTTCGCCACCCCTGGTTTAGAAGTACGAACTCATTCTTCATCTCTCCCCCCGCCTCGTCAACTTGCCCTGGTCTCCCCTATTGTCCCACCTCCTTTCGGTCTTCCTAGACATCAAACGTGCGTGTGGTATTCAGGGAAAATTTTACTCAAAAGAGAATGAATAGCTTATCGGAATGAGGTTTAATGAACAAAATTGACAACATTGGAATTGACAAAAGATTGAGAAATCGGATTGGAATGAGCCCTGAATGAAAGTACGTCAGGGCGTAGATAACAAGGTGTGACTAATTGGCCTTTCTGGTTTGCCGCAACAAAGATAAAGCGGGGTTTTCGAATTCAGAGAGAGTAGAATTTCTGAGGTCATTGATGGAGTAATTGATAGCTTCTCTTTGTGAATAATTTAGTGTCTCTCAGTAGAGGTGCAAGATGGAATACAGTCAATTCATATACTTAGTGTATTCAAGTACTATTCACGTTTGTGGTGAAAAATGAGTTTGTAGTACTGTAATCAGTCTCTATTTGAAGTTGAGAACCATGAATGCTTTTGTACTGTGCGTTTCCCTGGCCTTTGGAAGTGTGCCTTGAAAAGAAATGACAAAACGGACGTACATCATTTATATTATGCTCTTGTATATCTGAATAGAGCATCAATACCTACATACATCGATGGCTTCTATTTCAGGTTTTACACGTGTTTTTCGTCACGCTTGTCTTTTTCTTACATCATCCTATAAGATTATTCAGTAATCAAACAGGAAGTAGTAGCCACACACACACATATGAAGTTTGGAGTAATTTCGAACTCCAATAAGCTTTGCTGCGATACATAAAACCCCGTGCTTCAGTATTACGCCTTGATTTTGTAAGCTAGCTTTTATATTTTTGGTCAAGATACATGCTCGTATTGAATATTAAGCAGCAGCATAATAGAGAATAATAATAATGTTGTCAAAATTTAAGCATCTTTCGCATTGAAAATTTGTAGATAATAGCTGACATTTTTTTTGTATGAATTTTGCATTTTATTACTTTTTTTTCTATATCGAGGTGGGGGGGATTTAATATCCTGAAAAATGTATTTTTCTCAAAGTTAATTTGGAGAAATGAATACTAATACAAATAATTTTTCTAAGTAGCTCACCAAAAAAATAAAATAAAAACTACGTAGTGTAAAAAATTACTTGGTATTTCTTAAAGGGATTTCTACTATATTTCAAAGCTATGTGGATAATGTTCATTCTATTTAATTCCTTTATTATTATGATTATTTTATTTTATTGAAATTCGATTCCTCGATTCGACTTATAGATAATTTTAAAATAATTCATTAGATTGAATCGTTCATGTTCGCTTTTAACACGCTGTTTAAATTTACATGTATATGTTGGAACAAGTAATATAAAAAGGAAAATTTTTAAGTCAATTCCTACTTAGGTCAACAAAGAAAAATTTTACTTTAGTTACTTTTTATTAAATAGTTACAATTAATATAAGTATGTAAATACATGTGTGACAGAATTACAATATTAAGTGCCAAAATAAAAAGGTATTTTCCTTTCTATATATGGTGCTGAACTATTATTATTTCGTTTGCAACTATTTATTCATTCATAAATCACTTTCTCAGAAATTAGGCCATCCCAAATAGGGATCGAATCCACGCCCTTTGGATTAAAAGTCCAATGCGCTATCCATTGCGCTACAGGGACACAACGAGCGCCTTTCCTTTTTATATATGGTGTTGGACTACTATTTTTGATGGTTACTATTTGTTCATTAATTTAATTAAATTAATGAATTAATATTTGAAACATATTAACATTGAGTGTCATCCATTTTAAGTTTAAAAAATGTATTTGAACTTGAGTAGATGAATAGGAATTATTTAATTAACGATTGTAAGTTTGAACAAGCTATATATATATAAATAAATATATATAGGGAGAGTGCGAACTAATAGTAGAAATTGAAAAAAAAAGTGTGAATGTTTCGCTGATCATATGTATGTGTCTATAATATATCAATATATGTATTTCTCATGTCTTATTTATATAATGTAATTTTATCGGTTAACTAATCAAATTATTTTTTTATAAAAATTCACCGTATACATGTTTTGATACATTTTAATTATTCAGCTGAAATAACGTTTTATTTAATTTATTTCTAATATATTCATCACAGATATTTGGTTTTAACTGTATTCCTTTACTCTCTGAATGTATCTGATTCAAAAAAGATATCCTGAAAACATTTCAATTTCATAAATAAATACTCCAAGTGGCACACAAGCATTTTTCAAAAGGGGAGGGCTCCAGGGTCGAAAGTGTACCATTCTCGTATCATGCCCCAATACACCGCCAAACACATTCTTTTGATTTTGTTGTTTGTCGGCAGCAAAAAACAGAAAAAAATAATTATTAAATAAATAATTAGCACTAATTAATTATTATTACCTGAACTCAATGGCGCTACAGAGATGATCCGGTCAGATGTGATCAGAGTGACGCGAAACCCCCATTGTTGAGTTCCCAAGCAAGTTTGCACCCATTTATCGGCCTACTGAAGGGATGGAAGACTGAGTCAACCTTACCCAGCCCGGGATAGGAGCCTCGGACCTGTGGTGTGAAAGCGTAACGCATTACTACTCAGCCACTGGGCTTCAATTACTAACAAATACTTAATTAAATTTTACGTACTATATACATAGGAATATAATCAGTACCGCACACAAGAATTTTTCAAGAGGGGGGGCGAGGTCGAAAGTTCACCATTCTTGTATCATGCTCCTTTTGATTTTGTCGATTTTCGGGAAAACACTGTAAAAAACTAATTATTGAACAAATAATTAGCATTTATTAATAAAATTAATCATTAATAACAAATACTTAATTAAATTTTACGTACTATATACTTAGAATTATAATCAATCGGGAAAAAAATCAAGGGCTTATGGGGGTCCGGACCCCCTTGTGTGCGACACTGATTATAATAAATCGGCAAAAAAATCGAGGGCTATCGGGAAGCTGGCCCCATGGACACCCCCTCCCAGTGTGCGCCACTGAATGCTCCTTATAAGATTCTCAACACTTTATTTAAGTGTAATTCAATCATACATACTTTATTTCACTATTGTTTTGTGTATGTTTATATTATGCTTATTTTTACGAATAATTAGTTTGGAAAATATAATTCCGTGAACATTTTTTTTTCCCTTTGATTTTCCGAAGATGTAGATCCTGTCGTGTAGAGGCAGCTGATGCGTGTTAAATTGTCGAGCTCAATGTCCTCCCGTTAGCGTGGTATGGTTGTTTGGAAAGGGAGGTGCCAGTTCAGATGTCGTCCTCGTCACTTGACCGAGGCTCAAAATTATGCGGTCCGTCACCAATAGCTCTCATGTTGCTGTAAAGTGCGACGTTAATTTAACTCTCCCTTTCACTCACCCGATCATTCATCGTCCCCTTTGATCATACAGAATATTTAAAATTCGTAAAGGTGCCCATTTTCAATGCCTACTGAATTAATTTCTAAATTAATTTTTTTGTATTTTGTGATAGGTCTGATGCATATATACTTGGGTTAAATAAAATGTAAAAAGTCGTACACATTTTAAATTTAGTCACCTGTTAAACAAGTATTAACTAAGACAGATTAACAGATCGAAAATATGTGTTAACACTTGACTGTTTTTAAGAAATTAATCTTTAAGGTACTTTATTCAATTCCTACTATTAGCTCCCTCTCTCTCTCTTTATATATTTATATATTTATCTTGTTCACATTTTCAATCGTTAATAAATTACTTTCTATTCATCCAATCAAGTCAAATATTTTTTTTAACTTGCAGTGGATGACACTTCATGTTAATACAGTTTTTTTTAAATATTGATTCATTAATTAAATTTAACTAATTATCGGTTTTTGACGCCAACTTAGATTCGTCTCCACTGTTGTAACAATGTAACTATTAAAACATTGACAAAAGTTCGCGCCAAAAACCGGTTTTTGAGCCAAACTAGCCAAACCGGGTTTGTAATGTTACAACAATGCAGACACACACAAATCATGCTCTTTATTTCAATTCCTACTATTTGTTCAATCTCTTCCTATACAAATATATCTTATTTAAATTTTCAATCGTTAATAAAATACTTTCTATTCATCCATTCAAAGTAGGAATTGACTTAAAAGCTTTTTTTTTATTATATTACTTGTTTTTTTTTTTCATGTCCTTTATTAGAATGTCCTTTTATTGCATCTTTTAACTATAGCCTTATACCTTTTTTATTTTAATGTAATCAACGTCATGTTACAATTTTAAAAAGTATGTGAAAGTAGTATCTTATGTCAGTACCAGGGCTCTATCCAATCTCCTGAGGGGAAAGGGTCAACATAGAGTTAATAGCTACACTTCAGTTAAGAATTCTCCATTACGACATGACTAGTTGCTTTTGCTGCAGCAAAATCACACAAGGAATCAAAGCTCGATTATTTAAAGTCATTAAATTCATTATTGACTGTAAATGCTTTGAAATAATCAGTGTCAAAAAGCTTACCAACGCTGGCGTAGCTAGTCCTGAGTGGGCCCTGTATCAAAATTCCTCTGGGATTCTTTTTCCTATCATAAAACTTATTTGAAAAAGTCTGAATTTTACAATTGGGACCCTTGGAGCTCCGTAGCCCCGTATCATTGATACGGCTGATACGGCGGTAGCTACACCCCTGCTCACCAATATCTTTGTCAGTAATAACTTGCCCATTAAATTATTATGAACTTAACTGTAATTGATATTTTAAGATCCCTAAAAAAAGCATACGGTAACACAAAAAAAAGAAAGGAAAAAAAAACTGAAGAAAATAATGAGTAAGAAACAGTAATAAATATTCCGAATAATACGGCGACGTCCCATCCTCATCTTGCCCTGGTCAGCATACCTTGATCGGTAATGTTAAAGGTTTGAGGAAGGTTTGGGTAAGATTTACCAAGAATAAAATAAAAATAAATAAGAGAACAGTATATAAAAAGAGCCTATTGTCTAAGGTAATCATCTGTAGCAAGTAATGAACGTTTTTAACCGTCATTACACGAGATCTTATACTGAAGCCTTGAAAATTTCTACTTCGGACAATATACACTCTATAGCAACAACAAAAAAAAAAAAAAAAAACGACGCACCAATAAGGAGTTGCCCTATTGTAATGTAATTTCGAACGCAAAGACATTTGTACCGAACATGCAAATGATTAAAATTTGGTTTCTGGTTTCCAATGAAAATGAATAGCGGGAGCTACAGCGCATAGGAACTGTGCGCTCAGCAGGTGTCTATAAGAAGCGATTCTCAATCTGATGGTCAAAATTTCTGTTGCATTGCGATTTTGGATACCTTTCCATGACTGAAAAAAATGCTTCGCCGCTGAATTCGAGCTCATTACGAGCAAATGTCACAGTTTGAAGGAGGTGGTATCATTGGATAGAAAGAGGCAGTTTGGGCAAATTGGAGAATCGCTCGTCATATGGGTCGAAGAGATGTGGCCTATAGAAGATGCTGGCAAGGATGCATTTACAATGGCAGATTTCAGCTTCATGATGGTACCGGTCGACCTAGGACCACAGCAGATTGCGAAGACAGATTAATTGTCAGATCAGCTGTCACACAGTTCCTGATTCATCGTTAGCAACCATCTGATGTGCGACCCACACACGAGTGTCCACCAGTGGCGCACACAAGGGGGTGTCCTAGGGGTCCGGACACCCTCCATAGCCATTGACTTTTTTTCTCGATCGGTTATAATCTTATGTATATATTACGTAAAATTTAGTTATGTATTTGTTATTAACAATTAATTTTATTAATTAATGCTAATTAGTTATTCAATAATTAATTTTTGTATTGTTTTTGTTCCCGAAAATCGGCAAAATCAAAAGAATATGTTGGGCGGCGTATAGGAGTATGATACCAGAATGGTGGACTTTCAACCCTGAATCCCCCGTAGAAAAATTTTTGTGTGCGCTACTGATGTCCACCATGACCATTCACAGACGGCTGACAGAGCGAAATTTACGCTCGTACCGACCGCTACACCACTTGCCACTCACGCCTGCACACTGTAGAGCCAGATTACAGGGGTGCTTGGCTCTGTCAGGTTGGAATCATGCTGACTAGGGACGTATAGTGTTCAGTGACGAATCCCGCTTCGAACTGTGTCCTGACGATCATCGAAGAATGTCTGGAGACGCCCAGGGCAGCGTGCCGATCCTGCTTTCTAAATTACACGCCATACGTGCCCTCAACCAAGAGTTATGGTCTTGGGTACCATTTTTTTGGCAACCGGACCCTTTGGTCGTCATTAGAGGTACACTTACAACACAACGGTACGTCGACGACATTCTGAGAACTGTTTTGCTACCGTTCCTTTTCCAGTACCCTGGCTTTATTTTTTCAGCAAAATAATGCCAGACCACATACGACACGTTTTTCTATCAACTGTCTTACAGCTTGTCAAACCCTTCTTTGGTCAGCCAGATCACTAGATCTCTCTCCAATCGAGCATGTCTGGGATATGATGCGAAGGCAACTGCATCTACCAGAGAATAATGATGACCTTTCCCGACAATTAGAGAAAATTTGGCAAGAAATACCGCAGGATACCAACATGGTGCTATATCACTCTATGCCACGTCGTGTGGCAGCTTGCCTCCAGGCTAGAG